CCAACCCCCACCTCTCTACACCCTCCTTTCAGGGAGTAGTAGAGGGCAATGAGGTCTCCCCTCTTCTCCAAACTAAACCAGCTCCCGACTCTGTTGTTCTGAGGCTCTTTCCAAGCTGTATGGGAACACACATCACCGGAAATTAAGTTATTTTAAATTATTTTTACATGGGCCAGGTCTTTTGGGCCCTTTTCTGGTGCAGAGGTCTTATAACTTGTAGATACAGATGCAAGATTTGTATTTCAATAACTCTGCAGGTCTCAAGCATTTGAGACATTAATGGCACATTTTTTTTCTCTGATAAATTTTGAAGTGATTTTTTGTGCTTATATGTCTGCTATCATTTTGAACCATTTTTACTCTGAGGGTGGTGAGAGCCTGGCCCAGGTTGCCCAGAGAAGCTGTGGCTGCCCCATCCCTGGAGGGGTTCAAGGGCAGGTTGGAGGGGGCTTGGAGCAACCTGGTCTGGTGGGAGGTGTCCCTGCCCAGGGCAGGGGGTGGCACTGGGTGGGCTTTAAGGTCCCTTCCCACCCAAACCATTCTATGATTTGGTGATTCTGATTCTATGATTTTCATTTGGCATTGAGCAGAACTTCACCTTCTCCCTCAGATTAAAAGAGATGCAAAATAATAAAGACACCCACAGTATTTCTCTTCTCCCATCGGCTTGTCCTGCTGTGGCTTTTTCTTTTATAGGACTGTCCTTCCACAGAACCACTGTCTCATAAGAAGACTTAGTGAAACAGCAATAAGAAATCTGCTTCATAGCTGGTATTTATTAGCTGCTTTTTCATTACTTAGTGTCTGCTGAGTTCTTCCTTATTTAAAAAACAAACAAACAAAAACTTCATCTTTGTACTTCTTAAATTATAATCCTAAAGACAAATGCCTGAGGTTGAGCCACTTTGCTTAAGAACACTGCCCACTTGAAAAGAATCTGCTGTGTTTAGGGACGAAGTATGAGGGAATGCAGGTATTTATGCTGTGTATCCCTTTTCTGCTCTTTACTCCAGCAGTAGGGTTACGCTGGGCTTCTGTCCTTCCGGGGGTGCTTTTCCTAAAGATAATTTTCTTTAAATTTGCCCCAGGTAGCTGATTTATGTCGAGGTGTGCTCTTGAGAACACCGAGGAACTCAAAACTACCAAAATGTGAATCATTCCAAGTTCCTTCCTAAATGCCAACATATACCTGGGTACCATGTGCTTGACAAGTTTATTAGCACACCATCAGCTACTCCTTATAGATTTTTGTGATTTTTCCTTGCATTTTCCTGGCGGAACTTCAGGTTGCGTCAGTTAAACAAAAACTGTGCCATCACTAAATTTTATTACGGTCAAGACTTTACATTTTTTTTTCTTTAGCCTCTCTTTCTTCATCCCCAATTTGCTCCACTGCATCTGTTTCTATTATTATGACATTGTTCTAAGGGTTAGGGAATTGGACTCTGAATTGTGGCCTTCCTGTGTTAAACACTGTGTTAAGGTGTTTGTTTGTTGAGCTCTTGTTTAATTTTTTTTTGGCTGAACTTTTTTATAAGGAGAAAATACACAGTAGCTTTCAGATGATGGAATTTAAAAAATAATAATTTAAAAAAAAAAAACAAACCACCAAACCCCCTCCAGACAAACAGAGGTTAACTTTACATTGTGTAAACAGCAGATGAAGTAATTCACCAATAGTTTTTCCTTCTGTCAGGCGGACTCCAGGCTATTTTAAAGGGTACTATTGTAAGAGAACCCCCAGAAGGCCATTGCTTTGCTGGCAGCAGCTCTCCCCTCCACCTGCTGCCGCCTCCTCCTGCTCTGGGTACTGTCTGCAGTGGAGCCCAAGCAGGAGAAAACACAAAGGCATCAGCAGGGGCATATTTTTCCAAGTATCCCTGACCTTCAGTCACAGTCAGCCCCGCAGTTTGTGGAGATCCTCCTCTAATGGTTTTCTGGTGTTTCCTGAGGCTGGGAGACTTCCTCTGCGGTCTTGGGCAAGCTGCTGACACCCCAAGCTTGCTTTGGTAGGGCTTCTCTTGCTTCGGCGAGATGTTTTCTTCCTTAGAGCCTCCTGTTCTCCTGCTGGGATTTTGAAACTGGGCATAGTTGTTACTGGGCGCTGGATTTCAACCAACAATGGTCCCTCCTGTTGCACATCATTCCTGGAGGGTTCACCCTATTAAATGTGTGTATGTGTGCGCATGCTTGCTGAGAGAATTTTAGGAGTAAACCAAAACTTTAACTGGAAAATTGACCTTGTGTGGTGTAGAAATGCAGGTAGTTCAGAAGAATTGGGCGAGCTGATTTGTCATAATGGGATGATGGAGTCTGTCACCACAGCGTGCGAGCTGAGCGGAGGTGGGTCCGTGTCTGCTGCGCTTAAGTTTTGGGTGCAGTTTGTACCTAGAGCTGCACAAGCAGAGAACACCAACCATCAGGACAATACAACGTGCTAGTGCAGAAACCCCAAACGGAAACGTTTCATGGTGCAAGAGCTCTTTGACAGAGAGGGGGGAATCCTCAGAAAATGAGTATATTCTTCAAGGTTTGCTGGGTGACTAAGGAGTGCCAGCCTGGGGGAGAGTCTTGTCGGCCAATTGCTGCCCCATTGCAGCTTTTTATCAGGTAAATAAGCTTCCTAACGGCCCATTTTTTGTGAGCTTTCTCCTCTAGGAATAATAGTAAAGTTATCAAAGGTCTCACCATTAACACCACTTCTAGGGCTGGAGTTGTTTTTCAGCATTCAATGCTTCAGTATTTGACCAGTTTCCTCTTCCCAGCAGCTTTTTGATATGGGGTAAATTACCTGTCTGCAAATTACTCCGGTGTATTTTTAAGCAGCTGTAGGAAACGTTTCAGCATTTGCTAATTTTGGTTCTAAAAATGCCTGTTGGGTTACGCCACGGTATGACCAATCTCCGTAACTAATCTTCTACAGCTTTTGGTAAATTGTGATAGAATCAGCGCTGCTGTCTCTTGAGTAAAATTCTGAATGAAACGAGGAAGAATGGATTGATTCTCCCGCTTTCGTTTCAGTCACAACCTCTAAGTGCTGTCTCCTTGACGGGCTGAGAGAGTTGGAGGGTTCAGTATGGAGAAGAGGAGGCTCCGGGGAGACCTTATAATGGCCTTCCAGTAGCTGAAGGGACTCCAGGAGAGATGGGGAGGGACTCTGGATCAGGGAGGGGAGCCACAGGAGGAGGGGGAAGGGTTTGACACTGAAAGAGGGGAGATTGAGATTAGATAGATTAGAGAGTGTGAGAAATGGGCTGAGTTTTGCTTCAGCTAATTGATATATTTTTGTTAGTATGTCTGTATTAACGGAGGAGGCCCGGTGATGGTGGAGCCTCACCCATTGTACCAAACTAATCCTTAGAAGTGCCCTGGGGCTGTCCAGGGGTCCTGGTCTACGGGAGGTCATCTAGGTGAAGAGAGCAGGGCCGATGGCAGACTGATAAGTGGACAAAGGACTGTGAAGACTGACAAGTGGATGAAGGTCATCTAGAGGGTGGCTGATGAAGATGAGGATACGACCACCAGGGTGCTTGTGACTACTAACACTGGACAGTAGATGATAGCAAAGACTGTGAAATAACGTGTAGCTAATCAACTAATCAAAGGTGTGTTTAGGATAATGATTTTGTAGAGTAGCTGGCTGAGCCTTGTAAGGTAAAAAGGTGTAAAGTAGATCTGTAATAGATCAGGCGGTCGGGAAGAATGTGAGCTCCAACTTCTCAGCCCATGAGAAGAGAGACAGTAACTCAGGCGGCCGGGATAAGGGTATAAAATATCAAAAAGCTAAAGGGTTGGTGTGCCTCTGCTTTGAGAGGCACCCGATTCAGCGCTGTTTCGTATAATAAATTTTTATACCTTTGCTTTGGCGATTTTGTCCTTTTTAAATTCTAAGTGTGAGCCAGTGTTTCTCACAAGAGAAATAAATTCTTTGGTGTGAGGGTGGTGAGAGCCTGGCCCAGGTTGGCCAGAGAAGCTGTGGCTGCCCCATCCCTGGAGGGGTTCAAGGCCAGGTTGGAGGGGGCTTGGAGCAACCTGGTCTGGTGGGAGGTGTCCCTGCCCAGGGCAGGGGGTGGCACTGGGGGGGCTTTAAGGTCCCATCCCAACCAAACCATTCTGTGATTCTATGATTCCTTTAATGTAAGTGGAGTCACCGTTGTGTTGGTGGCCTCTGATGTCTGTCTAGGGTATGCACGATCCACATCCCCTATTCTTGACCAGAAAGCTTTTCAAGCTCTTCCCTTCTTGTTAGCACACGGAACATATCCCTATGACTTGCAGTAGAAGCTCTAGCACTCCCCCTTTTCTGAAAGTGTGGTTGTGCGCGTAACCTTATCTCTGCTGCTCAGGCGTTTGCAGAAAATGACATTTTTCATTATTTTCGAGCTGTCACATCGGTTGTATTTTCCTGGCCAGTGCAGAGCTCCCCTACAGCTCTCCCTGTGCCCTCACTCCACAGGACTGGTTAGACACACAATTCTTCAACCGCTTTCCCACGGACTTCATTTTCACTTTTTCTTTCAGGAGCAGTTCCCGTGTCTCTGTTTCTCTCCCTGGCCAGGTCTCTTGTATCTTTTTTCTGTAGCGGTTACCGCTGTGTGAATGAGGAGCCCTGAAAGCCGTTGGTGAGCAGCGTTAGTGCCTGGAACAGAGGAGCAGTCTCTTGCCAGCTCTGCCAGCTGCTGTCAGTCTGGAATGATGAATTTCACACACGGAAGTCCCGCATTGCATCAGGTGGGATACTCTTGATGGACAGTGATAATTTATACTACAGGTAAACCAGAGTTACATGTACGAGACCTCAGTCGACACGAAAATTTCCTGCTTGGTATCATTTGCACAGTACCCTTAAAGGTGAAAATTCGCGTGTGAAAACCCACTGAGAGGGGAGGCTGCCTCGCCGGTCTGTAAGCGTGGAGAATCTCAGACCCTTTTTTCAGCTCTTCTGCCTGAAGAGCTGTGCTCGTGGCTTCCATCCCATCCCTTGGTTGGTGGCTGCCTGGCTGGGTAGAGACACCAGCCCCGGCTGTCACGCAGCAGCTGAGCACGTGGACTGGAGCCAGCCCCGGGGGGAGCTCATGAAGCCAATGAACCTGTCTGTCAGGCTTTCCTCCCCCCAGGACAGCCTTTGAAAATGGGAGGTGAATCAGCGTCACCTCTGTCCCAATTCCCCAGCGACAGCGTTTTTCTCCCTTTAAACTTAGAAGAAAGCCCCGTTCTGGGGGGGGTGGCTGGGTGAGAACCACTCACTTCCCAGCTTTGAACCCTGCGGCCTCTGAGGCGTTTTCCCAAATTCAGAAGTTCATCCCAAGCCTCCAACTGACGACCGACCGGACTGTCGCGGAGCACAAAGCCCATTTCCCTGTGACCCATAATTGCCCGACAACGCGGTGACAGCCCTTTGCTGACCGGGGGCAAACCCTACAGCAACCCCCCCGGCTCTGCAGGCTGGCGTGCACCGAAGGGCAGCTCTGCCCCCTGCCCTCCCCAGCGAGTCAAGGAGAAACACCATTGCTCACCAACCCTTCCCGTATACACACCAGGCATATTTACACCCCGTTACCCAGGAGAATTCCCAAGGAAGCCCAGGTTGGTTGAGCTCACGGAATCTGGTCTCCCGTCCCCTGACGCAGTCCCCTACGCCCGTCCCTGCCCCTCAGCGCCCTGCGAGCACAGCCCCGCAGAGACCTGGTCACCCTCTCCTTCAGGCGGCGCAGGGAGATGCCGGCTTTAGCCATCTTCCAGGAGAAGGCCGAGGGGAGGAACGAACGCCAGAGCGGGCTCGATCCTCCCTCCTGGAGCAGGCGGCAACAAGAGGGACGGGGGATCCGACTCCTGCTGGAGGCTGTTTGTAGCGAGGCTTTTTATAGACCCTATAGCCAAATATAGGTCACAGATGCACGGACACATGCTCCTGAGCACCTCACGCACTGAACGGCGCATCCAGACCGCTTCCTCCGGCCACCTATCCTGCCTTCATCCACAACACTGATTTGGAGGTAACACCAAAGGGCCTAACCACACCATTCTGCTTTTTTTTTGCTTTTTTTTTTGGCTGTGTTTTGGCTTCATTTTGCCGTCATGCCCACCAGTTGGTGTCTTCAGCCAAAGTTTCCTGCTGTTAAAGGCTGCACGAGCAGATTGCTTTTTTACCCTTTTTTTTTTTTTCTTTTCTATTTAAAAGGTATGACCTGATTTGGATGAGAATGAGTTGCATTTGGCTACAGGGAGCTGCCTTGAGGATGAAGGACACCTAAACCAAGATGGTTGGGATCTCTTCCATAAAAGATGGACAGCCAGCACAACCGGCTGGTAATTTTCAGGAGCTGGGTGTGCAAAAAAAAGGGCTGGAAATTTTTTCATCAAAAAGGGGAAAAAAAAAAAAAGGTAAAAAAAGGTAAAAAAAGAAGGCAGATAGATAATGCGTGTCTGGTAACAGCACAGCTAGTGAAAAAAGGCAGCACAAACCCCACAGGAGTGAAGCAGGTCTTCAGCCAGCACCAGACATTCAGTTTTACAAAAGGTTAAAGACACTCTGAGAAAAAAATAAAAAAAAAAAAAGCAAGCTTTTAAAAAATGTTACTTATCTGCCCAATCCATGGGAAATCGAGCATGAACTGAACGTGTCAAGAGCTGCAGCATTCCCACTTAGTGACATTCTCCCCACCTTCAACTTGCAAATTAAGAGGTGTTTCTAGAGACCCGAATTCTGCTCTTTGTGTTTCTAAAGCTTTGGGAAGACCACAAAAGGATGTGGGTAAGGAGGAGGTGGGGTATGCAATACCCTTCTTGACACAACTTTGTGTGTTTGGCGATTAACTAGAGCAAGTATAAGCACAAGGGAGCCGTGAGAAAGAAAGCATTTATTAAGACAAGTGTAATAGCTTTTTTCCCCCTGGGATAAACAACTAAATGCCTATGACAGCTGACCTGTTAAAGAGGTGTTAACAGTGTCCCCTGCTCCTTCTTTTACTGCAGTGTGAAAAAATCCAGTTAAACTAATTGGATTACTCATTAGTTGATGTTTCTCTAGTCTCATATGCAGCTCCTGACAAACCAATTAAAATATATATTTCCACTATGGCCAATTTAAGTTTAATGGGGAGAGTAACGTAAAGCACTGCAATGGTTCAAAATGGAAGGAGCTGAGCCAGTGACACCTCTGTCATTGCTCAGCTTCCTCATTTAGCCTTGCGAGTGTCCCCGTTAGTGTGACTTTCCTTCTCCAACTTTAATCATGTCAGCTTAGTCACGAACTAATATTACCCCTAAACATATTGAAAAACTCAAGCAGCAAACTGCCAACCCTGCAAGAAGCAGCTGCAGTGAACACCGACAGCGAGGCCGGTGACATGGCGTTGTGTGAGCGCAGGGCAAGTCCCCTTCCGGAGGACGCAGCAGGTTTCACTGCCCAGCTCGCTGTCAGCGGATGTAACTGGGCTCAAGGCAAATGCCCCAAGAAGTGGTTTTTTCCCCCCACAAATTTCTTTAGAAGTCTCAGTGTCTAAGGTTCTGGCAAGGGATACACAGAGACCGAACTGCTCTGATCAGCAACTAACACTCTCCTGGAGCCTTTGATCTCTGCGCACGAGATCCAGTTCACCTTCTCCCCGTGCTCAATGGTTAGCTTTGGTGAAACTCTCGCATGTCCATTGGAAGCCACTTCTTTGAGCTTTCCATCTTTTCTGGTGGAAGCCAGCGCTTGGGCCTTCCTTCTCTGCAGAGATTTCGCTGGACTTTTCTGCTGCTTCCCCACCTCACTGCTGACATCCCAGAGCAAGACTTTCCCATCATTTCCTCCGGTCAACAACCAGTACGCTTCTGGCATAAAGAGGACCTGCGATACTCCCAAGCTGTGACCTTCAAAGTCCAGCTCACGCTCAAACTTGACACCGGTGACTCTGAATATTCTGATTTTACCATCTTGAGCTCCGCAGCCAAAGATGTTGCCGCAGGATGCGACAGACAGGGAATGCGCCAGTGGTGGGTTGAAGAACTGGCCAGCTGACTGTGGACTGTCGCCCTCCGTTTCACACTCCTGCAGGCTTGTGGTCCACAAGGGGCGAGCTTTCTGCAAGTTCCACAGCATCACCTTGAAACAAACAAACAAAAAAACCAACAGTGTGAATCAACAACTTGTCTATTTTACATAAAATGAGAACTAACAGTAAGAAAACACAACCACACTTCTTGCTCCGGCAGAGCAAAGGCTACACACAAGTGCAAGGGATGCAAGATGTGTTATGAAGGGCGCTTGAAGTTCACCTGATAAATACGGCAAATCTTTACGGCGCGCTTTCCAAAGCCTCATGCTGCCCTGCTCAGCAGCCAATGACTCAGACCTTTAGACCACAAAATGGATGAAAAGCTGTTCTAAGTGCTTTTGCATTCATCTCAGCAGTAGTAATCATGATATATTGCACATCAATTATTTAAAAGGAGAGACACGGAAATGCTAGCAGTAAATAGAGATCATTATCATTCTGAATTTTAGTTCTGTCTCTGCTATGTACTTGTCCTAAAATAATCTCTTCCGTGAACACGTTTGAAAAATGGAACAGCAAAAGACAAACAGCAGTTGAGGCCCTCAGACATATATGTGTTGTGGTTATTTTTTTTTATTTTTTATATCCAACGAGTAGATCTGTTTTGTGCTATTTCCATATTGAGGCAGGGTGTTTTTTTCCTGATGAGATGGGGGGAGGAGGTTGGGCTTTTAGACTTGCTTTTAAAATGCCACTCCACCTCCAAGCCCCTCGTGAGGCAACCGCTGTGCCTTCAAACGCACCCTGCGTCTATCCTACAGCAATTCAAGTACTATAGATTTGTACCGCACCAGTTAAAAATAATTCTCCCAATACTTTTGTAGGATCTGAACCGATTGAGCATTTTCAAGGCCAACAGATAGGAAAGCACAAATCAATCTAATGCAGTACCGGTGTGCTGTTTGCTTTTTTTAATCAAAGCTTTGATTTGTTAGTAATAAAAATATTCCTCTGCTAATAACCTCCAGTAGAAAGCACAGGAGCCTTTAAATTTGGGCCACAGAAGAGTTGTCCACTGGGTCTGAGTTTCTGGAATCCAAACCACACTAAGATATCAAAAATGCATTGTTTCCTGTCAGTTTTCTCGTTTAGTGACAGATGTTGCTGCTACATTAAAACTACTTTGCTACTGATGAAAGGCAAAACTTTCCATGATGACTGTGCAGAGCCGTGTAAATCCAAGAGGCTGGGTCCGAGCCCTTAAGGCAAATACTCCCGTTTTCATCACAGATGGCGCTGCATCAGCTGCATGAATCCAGCAAGTGCTGACAAGCTTTCTGCAAACTAAGTATTTTCTGTCCTCACAGCGTTTTTCCTGCTTCTGAAAAACGCTCCAGCACCTGAGGTTTTAGTTCTCATCAGCTGTGGCTTCACTGAGGGTTTGTCATGCCAGCCCAGAACACGCTTTGATGCTCACAGGGCTCATAACTTGTCCAAAGACATGCCACAGCTCAGCACTGGAGAGTATAGCAGCGCAGCTTCTCTTTGTGAAATGATACATCTTAAAGCCAACCTCGATGCAGAAAAACACTCTTTTCATTGCACAAAACCACACATAACAAATTCCTAGTATTTTGGGATACAGACTTTCACCTAAAAAACATCTCGCCAATCTACAGTAAGCCATACTAAAACTAAAAAGTCACCAAAAAATAACCATTTCACTGGCACAAAAGTGAATATAAATGATATAAGTGAATATAAATGGTTACAATTCCAATTAAAAAAAGTTTCCAGCCATAGGCTTGTGAGTCTGCAGTTTAGGGACCCAAAATTAAGCCAGCTGCCTAAGACGCCAAGCATTTACTACGCTAACACTAACTGCAAAGAAGTTTCTCATGGTACTTCATTTAAAATCCTACATCCATCTTTTAGTCAACCGATGAATAAATAAAAAAAAGAATTCAGAACATTTCTGAATAATTGGTAAAGTCTAAAGCTAGCAGACTTCCATCAATCAACCCCTATTTTTTGGGAGGGGAGGGGGGAGCAGCTGATATATACTTACTGAAGTTATGTGGTCCATGGCTTAAATGTGGAAAAATACTGCTTATACTAAATATCAGCATGTATCTGTTCTAATGGGTGTTAGATACACTTTGGTTTTGAGAACACAGAGTGAAACTGCTCTGCGCTGTCAAAGCAAACTTCACCCTAATACCGCTAGAACCACAGAAACCTTTGTAGAAGTGATAGTTTTAATCTCATGCTAAACTAGGAATGTGGTCAGATCTCAACCACTGGAAAGAAATTACTGAAAAACATCTGTTCTGGGTGGCCATCTTTGGCAACGTAACTCAAGACTGTCTTAACTCCTACCACAGTTTTTCTCAGAACTCTTCCACACGTGGCATGCAAAGGACAAACTTTGCTCTGGATGAGAATAGAGAAGCATAAAGGCAAAGAACTCTTAACACTTCCAAGAGGTTACTCAGAATAAAGGATGAATTTATAAAAATTACTTGTCCTTACAACAGTACGTACCACTTAGATAGATATTTATCTACCTGGTGTCAAGTATTCTTGCTAGCATCCTATCTGCCTCAAGCACTTTGAGTTTTCCTACCATCTGCATTTTGTCTGCAGCCATAACTAGGGACAACCTCTGCTTTTGGGTCCAACAGAGAGCTAATGTGGCCCAAACATGCTTTGCACCATCTGCTTATCTCCCCCCAGCACACCCACTTCCATAATGTAACTATTAATGAAGACAAGAATAGGGAGAGGAACTGCCGAGTAGAAAATGGCACAAATAGCTTGGCTTCTCCACCAAAACTACTTTAAGTTGAGGAGCAAGTGCAGGCTGTACAGCCTCAGTCTTAGTGAAAGTCTGTTGGTGCCTCACTACACAAGGTGGGTAGTTACTGTTTCGCTTCTCTAATAACCATCTACTTGTATGCAAATCACCTGCATGTCCAGTCCACAGGAAACAAGGCTTTGAGGCCTCTGAGGTCGAAAGGCAACAGAGGAGCAGATGTTTGAGTGTCTCAAGGAGCGGCTGACTTTCTTGTTTTCCAAGTCCATAATCTTTATTGCCCCCGAGTCATCTGCCGCAGCCAAGAAACTCTCGGTCTCGTTCACTGAAAGGCAGTTGATCTCCTCCTCATTCACGTGGAATCGATCGATGGGCTCCTTGAGGGATCGGACATCCAGCAAACTGATAGTTTCTCCATGGGAGGTGTACAGCCTGGTGGGGTGGCGGGGTGAGAACAGCACGGAGGTCACGTCGTCCGCCTTGGGGAGCTGGAGCCGTCCCACCGGAGTGCCTCCCCCGTCCCACAGCGTGAGCTCGCCTCCCTCCGCGCCTGAAGCCACCAGCCCTTCCGTATTCACGTTCAAGCACAGTACAGATGAGGAATGTCCTCCAGTCCATTTGACTGCCATGTTTTGGGGACACCTCTGAAACAAAACAAAAAAAAAAACAACCCAAAAGCTTGAATGGAGCTGGTGCTGGTCTCGTTACAGTACAAAGCTTATCTAAGCAACAAGATGAGGGCACTGACTGTAACGCCGGCTGCTTGAAACTCAACAGGTACCTCAACAGATCGGTGCCCAAACAGAGCTTTGGCTTAAACAGCACCAGCCCGACGGGGCGGCAGGGCAGAGGCACCTTTACCTGCACAGCGCCGCGGAGCCGCTTCCTCAGGCCGTAAGGAGATAGTGTGCCCCACAAAAAGGGGCACTGCTCCGAAGGGGCTGTGCTGGAACCCAGCAAGGGGAAGGTGCCAGACTGGTAATTTTCTCCAGACTGCTAAACGCTAAAGCATGTTTGCATAAAATGATGAATAATAGCATCTTTTTTTTAAAAAAAGCATTACCCATTCAAGGCAGGTAGTTACCAGGTTCACAAGGGGTTTAACTGGGCCTCGAAGCGCACCCATCCAGCTCACCGCACTCCCCCCCTCTCCCCACTCTGGTCTGGGGACCAAAACGGCAGAAAACAAAGTGGGGGGAGAAACCCACCACCACAAAAGCCCAACCTGTGGGGGGGCCGGCAGGCTGGGAGGCAGCAGGCCGGGGTGCGGGCAGCAACGTGGGGTCTGCAGCACCTTATGGCTTTGGCCATCATGGCACCGCCTTAAATCTATAGTTTTACGGCATTATTGGGCTATGAAGTGTTTCTTTTAGGTTTTTTGTTTTGTTTTTTAAACCACATTGTGTTTCACACGTGGCTTCTGCCGAAGAGCAGCTAGAACCCATCCCATCCCAACTCACCCCAACCCATTCCAACGCCATCCCGACCCACCCCATCCACCAGGAAAGCTCCACTCTCGCCCATGAAATACGCCATTACCGAAAGTGCCTTACCCGCAGCTCGGGCGGCCGAGGCGGCCTCCCCCGCTTCCTCCCTGCGGGAACGCGGATCACCTTTCCCCGGCCGCCCCTCGCACCGGTAGGCCCGACTCCCGGGGCCGTCCAGCCGGGGAGCCCCTCGCCCTTTCCCTGCAGCCGGAGGGGGGTGTGTGGGTACGACGGGCAGACCCGCACCGGTGCCCGGTGGCGGAGACGCGGGGTGTGTGTGTGTGTGTAGCAGGGGGATGCAGTCTCCGCCCCGCCGGGCCGGGCCCCTCCGCGCCGCCTCACCTCAGCGCCGCCGGCCGCCGCCCCGCGCAT